CCCAATCATCAGCCTTTCTGTGGCTTATAGAGAACTCATACACAAGCAAGAGTGATTTTTTTGAGGGGGTAGCAAAGTGTATTCTAACGTGCATTTTTTTATCAAACTCCTATCACCAGCCTGTCTATGGCTCATAAAGGGTTAATTCATAGAGCATGAGCCGAAAAGCATGTACGGTTCAGTCAAAAGACTGTGTTTGCAGGTCTTAAATCTGGATAGAGAAACTACCTGCTCCCAAAAGCGCACCATATCTTTGTGATCTCCAGCGTGACGTTCTCGCTGGGTCACAAAGTTTTGAATCCCGACGTGATAGAGCTATTGGTCAAGTACTCGCCCAAGCCGCTAAGGCCCAGTTTCTCGCTGGTTTGAAATGGGAATTATTTCTGATTTTGATGAACTCCTAGGGTCAGCTCTCAGCGGACGAAAAGGATCTCTGCAACAAGTTCAGTGTAATTGTTCAATTCTTGGAGATTTTGGACATGATACCGGGGCGATGCAAAGCAGACGCGCGTCCATTTATTCATCTCATGCTTACTCGTTATATGAACAATGTGATGTTCTAGGACTAGAATTGGGATGGTGGCATGAGAGTAACAAAGTTATTTTGACATTCACAAAGATGATATGCCATCATCACTGATCAGTATTGTAATGATATATATTATATTAAAAGACCAATAACCCATCCGCAAGCCGAAACAAGAGACGCGAATCATGACTTCAAGAGTCTCAACAAGAATCCTTGAAAAGAAGCTGTTTGACGACCACATTTTTCTTTGGACTCGACAATTACTATCCAAATTTGAAAGAGAACTCTCTGTTGTCTGGTCTTCTCCCGATCCCCAATATTGTAGTCTTTATTTGGATTGATGAAGCATTGATCGCATGCAAAATCGAGTAAGATCTGAACCGGGATTTTGTGAGTAGCCTTCCAGGTCTTCTCCATCTGAGCTAGGAGATATAATCAAAAGTCGTGTGCTTGATTCTTATTCAATATCGGGATTTTTCTCCCAGACTCTCATATACACCCAGAAACAAATCAGGTATTTCGTTGTTCAAAGGGGCCGGCGACTGAGAGGCAATCTGTAGGTGGATTGAAAGTACACAGTCTTGATAATGGGAATGTGCATCAATCCATACAAAATGGATGGGACTCCGTTGATGTACTGCTAGCTCTTTGCTTTGTATCAAGCCTCATCTTCAAGTACTGTGATACCTCTATCTCCAGCCAAGTACAAACTGGGAAAGCGACTCGCATGAATTTGGCCCACCAAAAAACGTCTTGCCCTTCCAAGATCAGCCTCAGCTTCGACCCTCGCGATTGGTCTTCTTGTATGCTTTGAGCTGCGTATAAGAAAGGCCTTGATGGGAGTACTGCTCAAGAAAACCTCAGCGTTTTTGAAATCTAGATGTATGTAATCAAAACTGGATGGTGAGTTCTTCTGGAACCGCCATCGATCCTTGTCCACTGCTTGTGATCAATCAGCAGGTATTGGAGGAAAGCCCGTCTCCGAAAAACGAACATACGAACATGATGCTTCATCGAGAAAGCGAAATTGTAGTGACAGAATTGATTTTGATGATGAGGAGATTTTAAGCGACTTCGAGAGAGGAGGGTGGTGGACTACTGTACACCACAAACCCTCGAAAACGGTTTTCCCGCCGGGGTTTGGCACTGGTTATCAACCCGATTTCCTTTGCAGAGAGGATACGTTGAGGTAACGCGCTTAGTCCGCGCGGTTTGGATCGGGAATTTTGAAATCCGGGTGCAAACCATTTCTAGACTTTTGCTAGCGGTTCGGAAACCGAGGGTTCGCCACGGTGATTTCTCGAGCATTTTTGACATCGGTTTCCAAACCATTATTTTTGCAACCCAAGTTATTGCGCATTTTGAGTGATGGTACAAAAACCGCTTTTTCATCAACGTGCTTTTTGGATCCACAGCTATTCATCCGTTGAAACTCAGTTGTCAAGCAAGCACAAAAGTTCAAAAATTGGATTTTTGGTATCCAATTTCATTTCTCAGTTCTCACGTTCGCACAGACGGAAACGCAACCAGAGCAGCCTGCTCCTTGCAAATGATGAAATGACTGTAATGGATTGAAATTGCTACTAATGTGATAGATAAAGACAGACACAAAAATACAAAGAGCGAATGTGAGACGCGAGGAAAGAGAGGGAAATAACGCAAAAGGATACAATGTCAATTGTGATAAGAGAAAAAAGAGGAGATGATCATCACGCCAGCTGCTGACGGAGTGGTTGAACAACTGTACTTGGTGTATCAAACACCACCCGTTAAAACCCCGGTGTTTACTCAGAACCCCGCTGAATTTGAACCGGGTCCCGGCCGCGACTTTTGAGAACTCCCTGAAAACCGATTTCTAACAAAAACAGGGTTCGTGGTGTATGTTTGATCTTTTTGTAGATTACATCGAACTTAACTAAGTCCCTTAAGTTCGAGATCACATGTAATTTTTCACCCTTGAAAAATTCATTATATTTTCAGTGTAAGAGAGGTTTTGAGGGAGCACAGTTAGGATAGAGGGAGCAATAAATAGGAGGAGGTAAAAAGTTTCCTTCTCTGTGAGAAAACCTTCCTCTTGTCAATGTCTACTGGCCCTGTTGTCCAAGACTGCCCCAAAACCTCTTATTCCTACCCCTACAGTGCGTAACGGACTCTATCACTGATCTTGAAATTTGTTTCTGCAGAGATTTATCACCAAGTTCAGCCCATCAGGTTGTCCACCATATTGCCCTTGATGTAAAGAAGCTTGTACTTCATCTCAGCCATAATAAGGAAAGCAATGAGTCCTCAAAAATCAATCCTGGTTGTGCTTTCCAAATTTGTTTCTCCTTTCTACTTTTACAGCTGTTCCAGCAAGAATAGTTGATAGGAAGTTTGTAAAAAGCTCATCAGCGCAGCCAATAAAACTTCTGTCACTGGGTTTTCCAGCTTCCTCTGAAATCAACTTAACCGCAATTCATATGTGTGTTTCCACAGCCTGATTATGTAAAATCCTACTGACTGATGAGAAAAGGTTGTTCTTGTGGCTAGCCATAAAACCAAAAAACAATCATACATAAAAGATTTATCAGGTGTATTTCAAAAGATATGAAATGGATGCTCACAAGGACACATGATATTGTTGGAAGGATCCTCTCCCTTGCATATTGATCAAGCTTGTGAAAAGAAAAAACTCAATAAAACCAATAGTAAGAGTTTTGCAATGGACAGAATATTTGAAAAAATAAATCAACCTTTCTTGGAATGGATGTAACTTACTTGAACCTTGTTACTCTAAGTTTGAACCCTAACTTTCTGGACGATTTCCAAGACTGCATCTTAATCAGGAATCTTACATGGCGGTATATGACATCTGAACATGTTCAATCCAATCATTTCAAAGCATTATATTTCATGAAGCACATTGGCCTCTGCTCAAGATATTGATTGTATTGTCTGAAGATTTTGTCAACATGAGCTTGTAACTCAGTATAAAAAATCTCAGAAGTTACTTTGCATCATTAGAGAAGTATTTTAAAGAAGTTAATATTGAAGCCTTCCTAGTCTGAAGTGACAAGCCACTAGAGAAATGATTTAAATTAGTAAATGAATTTGAGTTTCATTCAAAATGAGAGCTTTTGATCTTTTCTGATTTCTCATTTATCATATTTTTCACATGTAATCTTCAAGGATTAAGAATTTTTAGTCATTATCTTGTTCTAGACACCATGATTACTTCCCACCAAAGGTACGACGTGGTAAGGCATTTCCATCGTGACTAAGGTGGTAAGATGAGACCTAGGTGCACATGTAGATTTACATACACGACGAAGGAGGGCACGGTAAAGATACAGGGAAGAGAGGGAAAATTTTCCCTCACTTCCAGATTTCAGAATCTTCACCTGCACGTAGTCGAATCGAGCAATCAAGCTCTTTCTCCTTTCTCCTCCTATCTCTCGCTATTTCTTCTTTTTAGCAGAAATCTTAATATCGTAGATCAGAGTTACTGACACTACACCAAATGTAATCTTTACCGGGCGGTAAAGAAAACTACTGACATAGAAAAGTCCTGAGGCAACAGGAAGAGAGGTAAAAATCTGAAAAAATATGCACCTTGTTCCTAGATGTTGGGGCGTCATGATGAGTATTTTTTTGTATTTTACACGCAGATATTGGTTAATGTACTAACAATAAAGGCTGAAAATCATCAAAAACCCACCTGTAACAATACCTGAAATTTGGGTCATGATTATGAAGACAATATTTTGTGGTCTAAAAACTTCAATAACTTTTGCAATTCTGCTCCAAATAACTCGATTTTTGGTTCATTCAAAAGCTGAACCATTCTCCTTTACACTTCATAATGTCAGCATGGTGCTATCTAGTCATTTGAACGCTCTACATATGTCCAAACAGTTCTGCATGAATAGCTCCGTAGGACCTTCTTCAGACGGGCTACAGATGTGATGTCTCAATGAAAAATATAGAGGAAAGACTCACCTTTCCAATGAACCAAAAATCGAGTTATTTGATTCAGAACTGCAAAAGTTATTGATGTTTGAAGATTTCCAAGTCCTGTATATAAAAACAGGGGCCGAATTTCAGGTATTGTTACAGGTGGGTGTGAGAAGATTTTCACCCTTTATTGTTGGGGCATTAACCAATATCTGGGTGTAAAATACAAAAAAATACTCCTCATGAGGCCCCAACATATAGGAACAAGGTGCATATTTTTTCAGATTTTTACCTCTATTCCTGTGGCCTCACCACTTTCTATGTCAGTAGTTTTCTTTACCACCCGGTAAAGATTACATTTGGTGTAGTGTGACTCTCGAACCATATCAATTCAATTCAAAAAAAAAAAAAAAAAAAAAAAAAAAGACTAAAGAAAGTTCACTCGTTCAATTGAACCTAACAACTCAACACTCCTGTCAAAACTTTAACCTTCTTCGTAATCCTGTTAGAATTTCATCCCGATAAATATAATAGCAAGATGGATAGCGAAGACTTTCAGAAATTAATTGACGAGAAAGTAAGGAAAGAAGGGGAAGAACAAGAAGGAGAAGAAACAAATGGAGGAGAACGGATATCAGGTGAAGAAATAGAAGGAAACGGAGGAAGTGGAGAAGGAAAAGGAGAGGACGTTCAGGAAGAAGAATGTCAGCTGGAGGAAGGTGGTACAAGCAAAATGGATCCGGCTCAAAGCACGAGTAACTCACAAACCATACCAACAGCGACCCGACAATCCAAGAGGAAAGTTGGCCCACCGAAACCTTACCCACCAGCCCAAGCAGCAGCACTGAAGGCCATTGGTCCGATTCGAATCAAGAAAGCAAGGGGTAGACCATCAGCAGCCAGGACGACCGAAACAGTTGATCCTAGCGAGCCAAATCCAAATATTGGTAAACCGGCGCAGAACCCACCACTCATAGGAATGGCAGCTCTGATCGAAATGGCCAACACGAGTGGGACGACTACGAACCAACCCCCTGCACCACCTCTAGCACGTCAACAACCTCAACCCCACCCCCCACAACAAGCGCAAGTCGAACACCACATCCAAGCGCCAAACGATAACCACGGAGCTAGAGGAGAAGACGACGACGAGAGGAATCTTGGGAGCCAATGGCAGAATCAGATGGAAGTGTGGAACGACACGCGACTCCAAGAGAATCCAAATGCAGTCAGAGGAGTTGGGGGGATTGTGCTGGGGGAAAGAGAAGAAGGTCAGTTACAGGTTTAAACACCCTATGATTTCATAATTGCTCGCGCTCCTAGAACACCCCCCCCAAAAATACCTGGAAGATGATACCAGGAAAGACTTCTTCCGTAAGGAAATGCCTCGAAAGAGATGGAAATGAATACATCCTTCCTAATGGGAAATGCCTCGATAATAGAGATGTACCAACTCAAAGCTTAGGCAAAAGGGAGAAAATCTATCCAAAAAAAAAAAAAAAAAGAGAAGGGAACGGAACTAACATAAAACCATGGCCGGTCCTTCTAAAAACAAAAACCGATACGATGGGTTAGTCGAAGAGAAAAGGAAATGGTTAGAATTTATGAAGTAAGCTCATACCTAAAAATCCGGAAGGATAGTGGAACAGTAAGGAATTCTGACACGATAATTCTACGGAATAGGAAGAGCGCAAACCCTACACCAGAAACGGTGGATAACTCAGTCAAAGCGACCGGAGAGAAGAAGAAGATGAAAGTTCAAAAAGGAGAAATGATCTCCCACCAACTCCAAGCCCTTTCGCCCTACTGGGACAACGCTATGCGAGAAATGAACAGATATCTTCCTTTATCCATCTTTGATCCCAACTGGTTGAGACAAGATACGGCGTTTGTCTCAAATAAGTCGTCCAGAACCAAAACCAAAGACGCCGACTCCACTGCGTACAACGGATATCCAATCCCGAACGAATGGCGAACTACGCTAGCGCAGTGGCATCAACAGAAAGCCTTATTTCTTGAATACCTAGAGTGGTATAAGCAAACGGAGGTCCTGCCTACAATGGAGGAACACTTCAAAAACGTACTACAAATTCAACGAGAAAACGGAGGAAGTTGGATGATCGCTTACCGGTATGACGTAATGATGAGACAGACGTACATGGGATTCAAAATCGGGAAAGAGGGTTCGTAGATGGCAGATATTGGGGTGAGAAACCCAGTCATCGAAAGATTGGCAGAGAGAGATGTTTTACGGAAGAACGACGACATGTATCTCGATAACCCTTATGCGTTCACGGGGAAGAAATGTTTCATTGACCCACTTGACGGCTCAAATTGGGAAGGCAGAGCGTCGAAATGGGACGACCCGAGCAAGAGTGACGCAAAAGATGACAAACTAGAACCTTCAAAGTCAACACAGTCCGTTAGATCAGCAATGTGGGCTCAAACCAGATCAGAGTCCCACGAGAACGCACAAGCGGGGAGATCGACCCCGGTGGCATACCACCCATATGCCCAACCCATAGCTCAACCACAATCCTTTATGGCACATCCTCAGAATGATCAAAATCGAGGACAAGGTGAGCAGAACCAAACCCCAGAACTCTAACTTGGCAGAACTCCAAAAAAAAAAAAAAAAGCTGACCTAAAAACCCACCTCGCTTATAGGAAATTATAGAGGTAGAAACTTCATAGCGAATTTCAGAGCTACGAGAGGTAGTAGAGGCCGAGGTGGCGGGAAACGAGGAGGAGCGGGTGGCAGTAAGGAAACTGACAACCCGGCTCAGAGCGGAACAGGAGGACAAGGAGGGGAACAAAACCCAAGGCAGTGAGTATAATAAACCTTTAGCCTACCATATGATGGAAATGAAATCACCCAATATGCGGGGCCTACCCCAAAAACCCTGAGAGTTGAGAGAAGTGAGAGCTGATTCCGTCGATGACATGAATTAGAATCGACGGAAGGAGGCAGACGTCGCCAGAACTCGTTGTCGAACCCCCGACTGAGAGAACCCGTATGGTAGCCGATAAGAGGTGGCCAACAAAAGCTCATTGTGAATTGAACATACCCGAATGGGAGGCGTTGATGAGAGAATTAGACTTGTTCAAAGAATGGGGAGACGTCATAACCAGCCTGAAGGAAGGTTTTGACCAAGGGATTCCCGACCACCGTATCGATAATTTACCGTGGTATACCCCACCGAATCAAACATCAGCGATGTTGGTAAAGGATAAAATAGAAAAGACAATGAAAAGAGAATGGGGAGAAGGGAAACTCTTCGGCCCGTTCACGCACGACGAAGTACACAGCCAGTTCGGATTCTTCCGATCAAACCCGATGGGGAGCGTCGTGAATAATGACGGATCATTTCGCATGATCAACAACCTATCATTCCCAAAACACGCAGCAGAAATCCCAGTGAGTTATAGATAGCTCACAGAGGAAGGGAAAGAACCGTACTGACTGGACACCAAAAATAATTTCGGATAGTCGGTGAACTCTTTCTGTGACACGTCCGGTGAAGAGCCTTAACACCACGC